GAATGTGTACAACTCATAATGACATCATTGACATCAATGACATCATTGACATGACATACGTAACATCGCCTTGGCAACCGATGACATCATCAAGATCAAAGGGCATTTCCATGACAATCGGCCACATTCCAACATTCTATTTGTGCTCCTGTGTCAAGACATCTTTCACACCCAACTTTGCAGGACAAAGGAAGGCTTACTCAGGCAAGCTAGTGTACTGACTAATTCTTAAGGATTTACACAACTGTTTTAGCATTGAGATAAGATGGAGAACGTGATAGATAGTGACTCAGTATACAGCAGTGGATTTCTTGATGCATTTACATGTTGCTTTAGAAGCTGCATGTTGTTGAAAAGAAGATCACAAGTCCGACCTGTGGAGAGTGAAGGCATCTTCTTGCAGTTTCAAAATACAGCAAACGCAGACAAGTCTTCATGTCCTGAGTGTTCACACAGAGATAAGATGGACAACATGAAAGACACTGTTTCAACACAAAGCAGGCAAAGCGACAGAATTGAATCTGAGATTGCCGAAGCGCTTGTTAAGATACAACCTCACCCCTCAACCAAGAGACTCTGCTGGGTGGGCAAGGAGGTCGGGCTCATTCTGCCAGAGACACCGCCACAGGGGAAAAGAGTTAAGAAACCTTTCATTTTAAAAAGGATCTGGAGATTCTTAAAGAAGTCAGGAAAGCGTCCTGGAGAACCTGACGATGACCTTTGTAAAAGCAGCAAGAAAAACGTTACTGGTACGTCTGAGCCAGCGGAGCATAATGAAGAGAAATCCGCGGATTTGGAGAAACCGTCACACAGCGGAAGACACTCAGAAAACTCTTCTTCTAGACTCCTGGGTTTGCAGTCAGATCATGATCTGGTCTGTGACTTTAAAACCCAAGTGGAAGAATTTGAGTGTGACCCAGAGTGGAAAGTCAGCGTTCAGAAAGCGATTGACAATATGTTCGGTGAGTACTTTGAAGAAGCTGAGAAGAGTTTGTTTGAAGGCAAGGAACCCCACCAAAAAGGTCCCTCAACCCTTGGACTCTGCTGGACACCGCCACAAGTGGAAAGAGTTAAGAAACCTTTCATTTTAAAAAGGATCTGGAGATTCTTAAGGAAGACAGGAAAGCGTCCTGGAGAACCTGACGATGACCTTTGTAAAAGCAGTAAGAAAAACGTGTCTCGCACGTCCAAGCCAGCAGAGCACAATGAAGAGAAGAACTCGGACTCTCTGCACGTGAGACTCCCCGTGATGAAGACTGAGGTTGGATTCATTCTGCCGACTACACCACCAGGGAGGAAAAGAAGCAGGAAGAGAAAAAATTGTGTCACGTCTGAGCCAGCAGAGCACAATGAAGAGAAGTACGCGGATTTGGAGAAACCGTCACACAGCGGAAGACACTCCGAAAACTCTTATTCTAGACTCTGGGGTTTGCAGTCAGATCATGATCTGGTCTGTGACTTTAAAACCCAAGTGGAAATATTTGAGTGTGACCCAGAGTGGAAAATCATTGTTCAGAAAGGGATTGACAATATGTTCGGTGAGTACTTTGAAGAAGCTGAGAAGAGTTTGTTTGAAGGCAAGGAACCCCACCAAAAAGGTCCCTCAACCCTTGGACTCTGGTGGACACCGCCACAAGTGGAAAGAGTTAAGAACCCTTTCATTTTAAAAAGGATCTGGAGATTCTTAAGGAAGACAGGAAAGCGTCCTGGAGAACCTGACGATGACCTTTTTAAAAGCAGCAAGAAAAACGTTTCTGGCACGTCTGAGCCAGCAGAGCACAATGAAGAGAAGTCCGCGGATTTGGAGAAACCGTCACACAGCGGAAGACACTCAGAAAACTCTTCTTCTAGACTCCTGCGTTTGCAGTCAGATCATGATCTGGTCTGTGACTTTAAAACCCAAGTGGAAGAATTTGAGTGTGACCCAGAGTGGAAAGTAAGCGTTCAGAAAGCGATTGACAATATGTTCAGTTAGATAGGGTTAGGGTTGGCCCGCAGGTGTTTGAGGAACCCCGCCAAAAACCTCCATCAACCCCTGGACTTCCGACTTGGACCAACAATGGACCCCAGGAAGACTAAAGACTTCAAACTTCACATCTACACCCACTGAAGTTTTCCGGACAGAAACCTGCAGAAAGCGATCGTGACGCCTCAGGAGTCTGAAGAGGAGATGAAGACGCGTTCTGCTGCACTCAACAGAGCTCGAGGTAAGTGAGGAATCCAGACAGACTGCAGCCGTACTGCTGTGAATCATGTGTTTGTACTATCGGGTAACGGAAGCTGTGACGTAGAGTTAGTACCTCCAGATAAACCTCTGATTCCTGCTGTTATCATGTACATGTACACAGAGACACTAGCGTATGAAGGTATTTACACAGAGACACTCACGTATAAAGGTATTTACACAGAGACACACACACGCACACACACATACAAAAGTACTTACACAGAGACACACAGACACACACATACAAAAGTACTTACAGAGACAGACACACACTCACATAAAAGTACTTACACAGAGACACTATCTGCACATAAAAGTACTTACACAGAGACACACACACACATAAAAGTACTTACACAGAGACACACTCACATAAAAGTACTTACACAGAGACACACACACACATAAAAGTAGTTACACAGAGACACATACACATATAAAAGTACTTACACAGAGACACACACATAAAAGTACTTACACAGAGACACATACACACATATAAAAGTACTTACACAGAGACACATATACACATCAAAGTACTCACACAGAGACACACTCACATATATAAAAGTACTTACACAGAGACACACACACATATATAAAAGTACTTACACAGAGAGACACACACACATAAAAGTACTTACACAGAGACACACACATAAAAGTACTTACATTACATTACATTACATGTCATTTAGCTGACGCTTTTATCCAAAAGTATATAAAAGTATTTACACTGAGACACACACACATAAAAGTACTTACACAGAGACACAAACACATAAAAGTACTTACAGAGACACACACATAAAAGTACTTACACAGAGACACATACACATATAAAAGTACTTCCACAGAGACACAAACACACACATAAAAGTTCTTACAGAGACACACACATAAAAGTACTTACACAGAGACACACTCACATATAAAAGTACTTACACAGAGACACACACACATATAACAGTACATATACCACACTTACACTGTGATGGTTTGCACAGAGACGCACTAAACATGAAAAGCATACACAGAAATTAACAACAACAAATATATAATGTACACTTACACACACAAATATAAACATGAAAGAATTTTGGAAAAGTTTATCAAATTAAAATATTTGGATTCATGAATATTGTCTCACATCCTGATGATCCTCCTCACGTCTCTTGTCCTTGTCTCTGTAGACCAACAGGACGCCAACAGGACGCCATCAGGACGCCATCAGGACGCCATCAGGACATCACGGCATCAGGACGCTGTCAGGACGCCATCAGGACGCCATCGGGACGCCATCCGGACATCACGCCATCAGGACGTCATCAGGACACCATCAGGACGTCATCAGGACGCCATCAGGACACCATCAGGACGTCATCAGGACGCCATCAGGACGCCATCAGGACGTGCTGAGAGTCGCCCCCTCAGGAGCAGCTCCAGATCTACGCATGACTCAGATGAGCGCACAACACACACACACTCACACACACACGTACTCAGAGACAAACTAACATGTAGATGTACACAAAGACACACTAATCTGTAGATGCTAAGCAAACGCTTTAAGCCACTGAGGCATTTTGTCCGGAAACCCTCATTGACGCGCCGCTGTTTTCTCATGACGGATGAATGAGAGTCCTGTAGCCTTTGTGTTGTTGTAAACAAGTCCACTTATTTGCCAGTTTACTCCCGTCACACGTTCACCATTCATCCACCCGGAGCATCACGTGACACTAACCAGCGCGCGGTCAAAACTGTTCCCTTTACCGGCTGGAAACACCTGCCGAGCCCCCAAAGGGACTGAAGTTCTGGACTAAAGAAGAAATAACTACTGTTGTTTAGTGGGTACTGTGAGATGCATGTACTGGTAGAATATATTATAACATTGTTTTGTGCTAAGGCCGTGTCTCAAGTGTCCTGTATTTGACCCTGAAGTGCAAAGAGCAGCATGATCCAAAATGTTGCTTGCAGCTGCGCACTGAGAAGGGAGAGCGGTTTACTCGATCTCGTAAAAGCTTCAAAACAAAGGACTTCTGTTCATGGCCTTGGTTCATATCTTATTTAGAGCTTTCGTTCCGGATCCACGTTTTTACTTTATGTCAATTAATAATGATTTGCACCGGCCACTGAGGAGGATCTTGTGTGTGTGTGTGCTACCCTCAGCTTCACCTGGGTTCTTATCTCAACCTGCTTTGTAGCTTCTCGTAACTGGCACGGAGAATGTCCTTCACATGTGTATAAAAGCTCGGGGACGTCATTACGCCGAGCGCTGAGATACATGCTGCTGTGTTGGGCCTCCTGCTTGCAAGCAATAGTTAGAGCCAGATATCTGCGGAGAATTGCTCATGCAATCATTTTCTCTTCTAAATAAATGTTAACTTTTTGACTTTAATTGATCAACGTGCTGCGATTCTTCTCATCAACCAACTCGGGGGGATCGGAGATCCTGACAGTACCTGCGAGCACCAAGGGATCGAGTATCCGGCATGAATCAAAGGAATGGAAGGGCGCTGAAGTTTGGGAATAAATTAATTCACTATGGTTTATCTGAAGGACTTGATGAACTGAACTGTGTGGACTGGGAGCATTGAACAGATTCACCACTAGATGTCAGAGGTTACACGTCCTCTCTGCCTCTTCTCCTTCTTCTCCTCTGTCTCCAGCCTCCTTCCTGAAAGATTTACGTGAAGAGCTGTACGCATGACGTCACATGTCACTCTTCTAAAAATTGAGTTAAATGTTTTACTTTGAAGTCCCATATCTGAGAAACTCCTTGTCGGCCCAAAACGCTTTTATTTGTAAAGGTGAAACCGGAAGCTGCTCTCTTTGCGTGATCTCTCATTGACGGTCGTGCTGAGGGACCGCCGCTGCCACAGCGGACTCGGAGCGAGCCGAACCGGGTGAGTAGAACCGCACCGCGCTCGCGGGTCCACCGGACCCCGCCGCGCGTGACAGACCCACATCCGGTCCGAAAAAAACGAAAGGCTTCAAAGCGCGAGGTGTCGCGCGGAGGAGGAGGAGGAGGTGGAAGAGGAGGAGGAGGAGGGGGCTTTAACAGTTGAATCTCCACGGGAAGTCGAGCTGACATTTTTCACATTAATATCGGGGCCTAAACACAACGGTTTAATGTAACTCACTATGATAATTACCGTGGAGGAAAAGTGAGGTGTTGTTTAATAACGCAACAATGTTCCTCTTAATCCTCTTAGACCTAACATTTCCTTATTGGCGGTTTACGTCAAAAGTGTCTCTGCCATTTAAAGCCGATTCTCCTGATTCATTATTCAGCGTTAGTTGATTAATCGACATTAAATAAAACTTCTTCTGTCATTCTACAATCACACAAGAGATGCAGGGTATTTCTCATGCAAGAGGTAAAACGTATAAGGGTTCTCTACAATTATCTGAAATGTAAAGAAACACCTTTTGTGTTTTATAATGTTCGGTTTGGTATAAGTGATCTAAGTGAATTTTAAATTATAACTTAATACTGGATATTATTATAATCGATAAGATGGTAGATCAGAATCTGCATTTCGTGCAGGCCAGCGTGCTTTTGTAGCTTACTGGGCCACAAGTCCTCTGCACATCAGAATCACAGAGAATTACAGACCATTTGAAGTTCAACCTGCAATGTTATGAGGAAGTAGGTCCTACTTCAATGCAGCTGCTCGTATCGGTTCCCCTCATATCCAGCGTGCTGCCACAGAGCCACCAGAACTAAAAGTCTCCCTGCCCCAATGACATCATCGCCTCCCGGCAGCTTCGTAGTTCCAAGTGCGGCGCCCTGTTCTCAATGTCCCGCCTCCCGGCAGCGTTCCTGTGATGCCCCAGGGCGGGCCGAGCTGGTTGGGGTCGCGATGCCTTACGTGGACCGACAGAATCGCATCTGCGGCTTCCTGGACATCGAGGAGAATGAGGGCAGCGGCAAGTTCCTGCGCCGGTACTTCATCCTGGACACCCAGCAGGGCAGCCTGCTGTGGTTCATGGACAACCCTCAGGTGACAACGTCTCCACACACACACACACACACACACACACACACACACACACACACACGCTTGCGATTTCATTCCCTTCAGGCGGCAATTCCAGACATCGGCTCACAGGGAAAATCTACCTGCAGGGACTTGAAACCTGTTTGAAGGAGACGTTCCCTCACAGTTAATCACCTTTGTTTTTCTAGAAAAAAAGTCCAGTTATCGGTGACGCCGACTAAACAACCGTCCGTCTTCATTTCTATAAACGTTAGTTTGAACTAAAGTGTGAGACTCAACGTGTGTTGCATTACATAGAATAAGGCACCTTACAGAGGTTAGCAGGGCCTATGAAGAACTGTGATCGATGAGATCTAAACAGGAAGCGGTGGCTTTATGGGTCAGGAGAACCACAGCGAACACGTTGTGAGGAGCGGTTAACGCTGTTGGCTTGACGGCCACATGTCGGACAAATACTCGGGCTTCTGGTGGATCCTCGGTTTGAAAAGCAAGCAGACAAACGGGAAGCAGGAGAGCAAAGGAAAGGTTAGCAGTCATTTAAAATCCTGTATGTCTCCAGATTTTGGGGGTAAGCGATGGTCCTTATTTTCTTTCGACGATATGAGAACTTAGTTCTGTCGACAAGATTAATGAAAAAATTCAACATAAAATTGATGAACAGAAACCAGCTGCGGGAGAAACTGTTTTATGTGCAATAAGGGCTGTTTGACGGGATGCACATCTGGTTCACTACGTGATTTATCCTTGTTTCTCAATGATTAGTATTAAAGGTTGTTTCCTTGTTCAGAATCTTCCTAAATGTGCAGAGAAAGTGGGATCTCTCAAGCTCTCCTACATCTCTATGGTCAGTCTCACACACACACACACACACACACACACTCGGATGGTCATTTAGTCTCTGGGACATTGAAGCTTTAATCTACTTTGTGTCCTTCAGGTCAGCGATGCCACCAAACTCCGACCAAAGGCAGAGTTCTGCTTTGGTAAGTTCACCTACATTTTCTCCCTCCCTCTTTTTCGAGGAGGAAAGACTAAAACCAGAAGAGAGCAAAACGTTGATGTGCATGTTCTTCTTTCCTCTCTCATCTCCTTCCTCGCTTCCTCTCCTGTCTCCTTTGGGTTACAACCCTTTCTACTCTGACCGAAAGAAACCAATGGACGTGCTGACGTTTCTGTCTCTCCAGTTATAAATGCAGGAATGAGGAAGTTTTATCTGCAAGCCAACGACCAGCAGGACCTGGTGGATTGGATCAGTGTTCTCAACAATGCCACCAAGATTACAGTGAGCCACACACACACTGACCGATCAATAGGTGACCCTGTTTCTCCGGCTGCACCAGGTGGACAATTAGATAATTAGATAATTATTAGATTAGATAATTAGATAATTATTAGATTCAAATTATCCATCAAGTTAAATTCAGGCTTTGTTGTGAAGGCGAAAGAGAAGCTTTTGTCGTCTTGAACATTATTTATTATCTACTATAAAGCACAAACATTTTGTTTCATTGATGACTTCTATCCGGTCCCTCAAATAAAAAAAACAACACTTTTTAATAGCTCATTAATCTCCTAAAAGAGCTGATTATACGTTTTTGTTGGAGGACTATTTGATGAATCCACATCTTTTGCTCTAGTGTGAGTATTTCACTCTAAACGGACCATAATTGACTAAATGAACATGATGCTGTGTTGAAGAAGACTTGAAACTAGAGCTTGAAACCATAAACTCATGCTTACAATGTCTCCATGTTTGCTGGGGGAATAAATCAGGAGAGAAGTAGTCATTTCTCTTGAAGTCTTCTATAGGACCAGAGGACTGGGGGTCACTCTTCACTTGTGTCTTTAGGTGCCAAAGTCCGGCGAGGGCCAAACGCCGGCCCACACGGAGACGCCCCAGGAAGTGCTGGGAGCCGTGAAACCGGTCTCCTACAAGACCGAGATCATAGGAGGGGTCCCCATCACCACGACGATGCAGGTAACACGCTGCAGCAGGTCCCGTCATGTCAGTGTTGGTATGCGGCCGCAAACACGGCTCACGCGTTTCTATCACTCAAAGGCTAAACTTTTGACTGGTACTAAATATGTGTTATTATACTTTTTACCTGTGTAACCTAACCCTTCACATTATATATAAATAGCACTGTGTGTGTGTGTGTGTGTGTGTGTGTGTGTGTGTGTGTGTGTGTGTGTGTGTGTGTGTGTGTGTGTGTGTGTGTTAGGAGGGGCAGAACGAGGCGGAGCGCAGCGCTTTGAAGCGGGGTCAGAATCCCTACTTCCTGTCCGGAGGAGCGCAGGACCACGGCGCCATCAAGGCCGGGTACTGCGTCAAACAGGGGGCTTTGGTGAGAGCGCGCGCACAAACACACAGTCCCGACGTTTTAAACAATGTCAAGCATGCCACCGAAAACACTTCACTAATATCTTTCTTCCGCTGCGTTCTGACTCATAACTGATTAATAACTATCGGAGAATCAAAGGAGATAAAAGTTTAAATGACCAAATGATTGTTTTGTGTCTAAATGTAAATTGTAAAGGTAAAATGTTCAATTTAATCTAAGAATATAAAAAAAATTAAGAGCAAAACCTTGAATGTAAACTATTTGTCTTTTTGCGACTAAAATGTAGTGTGAAGTGTTTTTAGACTGTGAAGAATAAACTTCATAGTAAACTGTGTCTGACTGCACTTCACACTTCAGATGTTTTGTTGGTTTCATCTCAAACATAAAGATTTTACAAACACACTTGTATAGTTTTCCAGCCTTTTATCATTGGTCCTCCAGTTGTTCTGTTCCACCAGTTATGTTATAATGTGAAAGTCTTTTTACCCAATGAGTGCAAGAGTCCTTTGGACTTAACTGGTTTCTTTGTAGCTATGAGGCTGAACTAACGGCTACAGTGATGCTCACGGCTCTGCTCCTCTTCCTCAGATGAAGAACTGGAAGAGGAGGTACTTCCTGCTGGAGGAAAACGCCCTCAGCTACTACAAGTCTGACCTGGTGAGGAGATGCATCTCCACTTATTACAGAGAACGGACCATCCAGCCGAGAGACGGCTGTTACCATGGTTACTGTGTGCATGGAAGCACACGGACCGGTGCCCAAATCATGGGCACACACACACACACACACACACACACACACACACACACACACACACACACACACACACACACACACACACAGCGGACTCAAACTTAGTGTAGCAACAATTTAGAAATGTTTTACTCACACGTGTGTGTGCAGCAAGGCTCGTGTTGTGCGTCTCTACACGCTGTGGCATGTGCCCTGAATGCCTCCTCGTAGGAGCCACGTGTGGAACGATCAGCGAGTCCTAACCGCAGGCTGTGTGTGCACAGACACACCCTGTGTTTGTGTGCGTGTGTGCGCACAGACACACCCTGTGTTTGTGTGCGTGTGTGCTTTCCTTTTGAAGGTGTTAACCTGTTACGCGCTATCCGCTCAGGAATCCTTTATCGGTGGACGGGGCTCCCAAACTTTGCGGCTTTCCTGCGTATTTGGTGAAAATAACATTGGAGAAATATGTTGGGGTCAGTTTGACTTTAAAATAAGACGTTAAACTGCTTCAAGTTCCTGTTTCTAACGATGGCTTCAGGAAGTTATGAGAAAAATCCTTCTCTATCTTTTGAACTTCCTTTATGACATTTGGTTTGTTGGTTGGTTGGTTTATTGATGTATGTATATTTGTAATAACCGTTCCAACAGCATCGGGAAGCTTAACGCCTCCAAATCACTTTAACATGCATAATCTCTATTAACTGTCCGTCTCTCATGGCCACTTTTGTTCAGGCCAGTTCACACCTGTGGTCCTAGATGTTTCCACTGTGAAGCTTGTGTGTCTCTCACCTCTGCTCCTCCTTGCAGGAGAGGGAGGCGCTGAGAGTCATCCCGCTGAAGGAGATCCACAAGGTCCAGGAGTGCAAACACAGGTCAGTGCGCACAAGATGCGCTGCTGCTCGCTGACCACTCGTTAGTGACCCAGTGTTCTGTGTGTGTGGCGCAGTGAGCTGAAGATGAGGGACAACCTGTTCGAGATGGCCTCCAGCTCCAGAACCTTCTACATACAGGTAACACACTGCGGCGCTGTCACTGTGGTTCAAATGACTGAGGATGATGAGGAGAAGGAGAAGGAGGAGGAGGAGGAGGAGGAGGAGGATGATGATGTCCGTATGTTGAGTCTCACTCTCTCTTCATTCTCTCCCCATGAATGTAAACTCGTCGTCTTTTTGAATCCTCACATTATCGGAGAATACTTTTATTTTATGTATTTATTTTGCTGTGACAATGCACACCAATCAACAGTTAGCCAGAGAGGCTAATTTCCATCTAGAATAACAAAATCTCAAAAGTAAATAGAATTAAAATTCATAGACAAAGAAAAGCAAAGTGTCTGGCAGCAGACCGGAGCAGACGTAACAGGCCGTAGCATGCGGCAGGCAGAACAGACCCGCCTACACAGCACAACGCCGCAGCACATAACCTACACAGCGAAACAAATAAATCGCAACACAGACCACGACAAATTAACACATAGGTGAAACAAGCAGGGGGGAGCTAATACTTTAGGTTGTACTTGAAGGTTCTGTGCGTGTGGCAGAGGGAGCTGCCTTCACAGAGAATGTAGATTTGCTAAACGAGCTCATGTGAAATGACATAATTGCCTCTAATGAGTGTGCTGCTTTGACTGCTCTGTTCAATAGAATAACCAGGCGTATAAAGTACAAACGAAGCTTAGGTCACGTCGGGTTTTTAACAGCATAACATTTAAGAATGATACTACTGCTTTCTGTATTTACAAATGAAACATTAACTTCCTGTTCATGTGCTGTCAGGCGAACAGTCCAGAGGACATGCACAGCTGGATTAAGGCCATCTCAGGGGCCATTGTAGCTCAGCGGGGCCCCGGACGCTCCGCTTACACCGTAAGTACCCTGTTAGGAGTATAAGTACCATAGGTACCCCGTTAGTACTGTGGGTACCATGTCATAACTATAAGTAATGTAGGTACCCTGTTAGCAAGTACTGTATGTACTCTGTTAGTACTGTAAGTACTGTATGTAGGTAAGTACCCTTTTAGTGCTATAAGTACTGTAGGTACTCTCTTAGTACTCGGAGGACTGTAGTTGTTTCGTATAACTTCATATGTATTAAGTATGTACAAGTATATTAAATAGAAACACGAGTGTCACTGAAGGACAATACATTGTGTTCATAAATTCCCTCCGGTGGTCAGTAAATCATTTCACATCCCTCCACATGTTGTACTTTATGTGTAAACTGGGGAAGTGGCGCCACCGTGTGGCAGGAGGAGCTACCGATGAGGAGTCCGCTTTAAAACCGAGAGCATTTTAATGAGATTATTATACACAGTATAATCTCACATTATTTATATCCCATGTTTAGGGACCTTTTAATGTCTGTCCATTATTTCAGATGTTTGTCCATCTGACCTCGTAGCAAGATTCACTTCACGTTTTGTCTTATGTTTACGCTTCTTAGGAGTTTCACAACCTGGTAATTGTTGAAATGTGTTTGCACACACGCACACACACGCACAAGGCTATCTTTCTATCTTCTCAAATCTCATTTCTGTTTGTGTGGTTTTGGAAAGAAACTCTTGCATCCCACACCAGTAGAATTCAAATGCAACAGTATTTATTATTGTGACAGTATTATATTAATGGAAGAGTTAGAATGTGGTTTGATCAGGAGATTCCTTAAAAACTTAAGATCTGAATATCTGCATTCTTTCTCTTGTAGTTTAATTAAGATTCATTTTAAATGGCTCCTTAAGTTATCAAGATTGACACGTTTTCTCCATTTGAAGAACTTTGGTTCCCTTAAAAAGAACACATTTAGTTGAATAAGGAGGAGGAGGAGCCTCTGTGGAAGGAGGCGTGGTCTTCTGGAAGCAGCTCTCAGACTAGCTGTAAACTTCTTTTTTAGATCCGTCAGGCAAGAAGGCTGTCCAGCCCTTGTTTACCGAGGTATACGCCATTCTGCGGCGGTGAATGCAGCACGTATGTGACCCCCATAACCCCCCCTCATTAACCCCCAGCCGCTGGCCTCCCCTTTGCCGAGCATTGAACCGGCAGACCCACCAGGAGCTCCCCGGTTCTGTGTCCTTCTGAGGCCCTCGACTTGTTAACCAGAATGGAGCTAAATGCTACGAGCTGGACTCTGTTAAAGCAGTGGAAGGACCCTTTAAAGTTCCTCCTGCAGCATCCAGGCCCTGCACAAAGAAACCGCTGCATGAAACCCTCATTTGACCCCTGTGTGAACTCACAGACGCACTCACGGACCGCTGGGTCGACCATTCCTTCTTTTCATTCTGCAGACAGAACCATTCCCCTCTCAACAACGGAAGTTGTGCCTCATTGGTCGTTGACATTAGTTGCATTGACAGCGTTTCTGACTCCCAGCAGGACTTTCGTTACGAGCTTCATGTATTTCTTTTTACCACTAACCTTCTGTGTCTTTGTTTCCTCCGTGTGTGTGTGACATGTGACAGTGACGTATTAACCTTCCCCAAATGAGCCCTGCTGCCTCCTTCCTGCCCCTCCCACTCCTGCTCATCGCCCAATCACCGAGCTCCGCTGCCTCTCTGCTTCCTTAGAAGCCGCTGTTCGATTCCCGCCCGGTTCCTTTGGCCGCCGCGGCGTTACTCGCTCGTACGTTGTTGCTTTTTAACCGCACAAATCGCCCTTTGTTACAATCCTCTCCTGTTGGATGCAGATACTTGTTTGACCTGGCTGCTGTTTTTGAATTTTCATCTATGTTAAAACCTGCACGTTGTTCTTATTCTTTCCGCTTGTCATTCAACCCACACATGGACGTTTGTCCCGGATCAGCAGCAAACATCCCTCTTTGATCGGGTCACTGAGCTGGTGCTGATTACACAGCTCGACTTCTCTAATCTAAAATGTCCTTCGGTCTCAATAGTTTTCCTTTTAGACGAGGGGAACAACAAGTTTTTGTCAGGATCATTTTTGTGTATCTTTGTTGTTGTTTTCGAAGGTTCAGCTTATGAATTTATTGTTTTGTTGTTTGTAACAAACAAAAATGATCTTGATAAAACCTTTTATTTCAACGTGAAACTTCGAGTCGAATACAAGGTCACCCGGATCGGCTGCCTCACTAAGGCACTTTTTTCATCCTCATCCATCTCGTTGCCGCTGTGCTCGCTCCCTCCGTCGCTCACAGCCGCTTCCTCTCTCTCCTTCTCCAGGAACGCAGTTCTTCCCCAATGTCCTCCTCCATCTTCTATTACTCTGACCAGGAACTACACCCACAATCCTGCTCCGCCTCAACGGGCCCTCAGCTGCACGCTGGACCGGCAGCAGCAGGAGAACTTCCTGGGCCTCCTTCCGTGGAGGCTGAGCGGCGTGCCGGCGGCGCGCTCCCGCCTCTCGCTGCTGTCGCCAAAGTGACGGAGGAGCGCCAGCCCAAAATGACCCCGCCGGGGTTTGTTTACGGGGAGGACCATGGGACCGTGTACATGACCCTGATTTGATGATGATGATGAGTGACAATCGCTAAAGTAGACACGCTCTTTAAACTACCTGAGTGCTTCTGGAATCCTCCCGGGACCATTGGACTCGTACGTTAGTGCTCGTGTGGAATCGGACCTTCTTCGTCTGCCGTGTCCTTACTTTTGTCTTCCCAGGTATTCATTTACAAACGAACAAAACCCTTCTGTGGTATTGTAATACTGATGTCTCGCACTTCATGGAAGATCCAAAGTGAGAGGCAAATCCAGAAGCTCAGCGGGTTTAAGACGCTCTACATTTATATTAAAAGCTCTTTAATAGTCGTTAGCATCTCTCTCTTCTCCGGTAGAAACTTAATTTTTCAAGGCTTTAATTTCATGAATTCCACTACTTCTAGTTTTCAGTCACTCTCCTCCCCTCCTGCACTGCTCGGTGTTCTGTGACCTCCATCAGATGTTTGTGTATTTGTGTCACTCATATTGTTGATTAGCCCACCTGTCATTCTTCTGCTCTCTGTGATGGAGATCAGTTGGTTTTTTATGTTTTCGTTATTCACACATATAGACACACACACACCTTCACGTCGTTGTTCCTGGTCAAACATCTGTTGGGTGAAGTGTCCGCGTTGTTCTTTCTAACGAGATGATGAAATCCACTGAGCTGTTCTGACCCTTTTTATTGTGAATGTGATTCTAAGACCATGTGCTCCGTTTATTAAAAGACATTTGAAAGTCATTTCCGACCGGCTCCAGGGGGCTTCTTTGCAACACGTGGACGGAGAGAGAATCAGATGTTCGTCTCTCTCTCTCTCTCAGCACTGTGGCTTTTCTGATCCTGTTATTTCCCACATCGTTGAAAACACATATTTATCAGTTTACATATAAAAATAAATTTCCTTAAAAATGTAACCGATAAGTCTTGCTGGTGGTTGCATCAGTGATGGCTTATGCACATCCTCTGGACTGGAAGAGCTCAAGGTTTGTCTCACCAGGCTGGAGAAGAGATTCTCGTTGAAATCACCACAAGCAACGATGGGCTCACGGTCCACGATCTCCAGTGAGTCCATCACGCTTCCCAGGTCACACTGGAATGATGTCACACAGAGGCAATCAGGGGACTAACCGGCTTCAAACTTCAGAGCCACAAACTCAAGATCATAATGATGTATGTAGTGTTTCTCACGAACAGAAAACACCTCTGTTGGCTACTTGCGGAACATTTGTGTAGGACAGGTGCCTGTTGCGTTTGAACATGTTGTAGCCCTCTAAATGGAGACCCTGCAACAAAGGAGCCTTGAAGATGAGTTTCTGTGAGACACAAAACATCTGCAGGACGCAGTTCATGAAAGCTCCCGTCAGCTGAACCCATCTGCTCACACTGGTTTGGCTTTGTACTTGTCAGAAGTCATCCACACATTTACACCTTCTGATGTTGTTTTCTCCAGATTAGACATGGTGACTCTTTTGTCAACTGTTGATATGAAGTGTTGACAGATGGCGTCATACTCATGTTCATTCCACATGCGTGAGTCACACTCATGAGCAGGGACGTCTCTCTTTTTAGAGTACGCCTGCATCATTTCCATCACGTTCGTTGATGTGATGGTGGAGTTTTCAACAAAGACCGTGGTGGTAAAAAGGGTTCAAGAGTTTAACATTAATTATGGGAAAATGTGTAATTCAGGGCCTCACTTCCACTGCACTGACCACCACATGGTGGCAGTACCTGATTGTGGTCAAACCAGAGTACAGAAATATAGAGAAAAAGAAATACGAGTGAAATATATTCATTATTGTAATAAACCTCAATGTACTAATTTATGAGATCATTGTTGGCTCAGGACAATACGGGAATAATATAGTCTGTGGAAGTTGATAATAAAAATAAAAATGTGTGCAATAAAAGTGTACTCGTGTGAGTACAGAGCAGTGATTCGTTTGGGGAATCGATCAGGCGACACGGCTCATGTCCATGGATCCGCCCAGAGTACCAACGAAAGGGGACAAAAATATGCATTTTAGAGACTGTCAATGACGTGTTTCCCAGTGGTGAAGTATGAGAAGTGGTTAATGCCCGAGAAACGGCATCTACCTCAGAAAGCGAGAAAACAGATCGGCGTGGAGAGTTAGCACCGCCTTAAGAAAACATTGTGGGAAGCTTGCATTAATGCATCAATAACCAATCCACTGATTAAATGCCTTTTACCTGCATCCCCTTTCGAACGCAGGATTCTATGCCGCTGCCTCTGTCTGTGCGGCACTAACCACCCGTCATACACCGGGAGCAGCGTGGTTGGCACAACAAGCTCAGCGGTCGGTCTGCTCACTCTCGCGCCGCTTCACTGCACCTCCTTCCCGCGGCACGCACCGCACCGCACCGACCACCCGCACCGCACCGCCCGCCCGGCCCGGCCCGGCCCACTCAACAAGCCCCGGGGAAATGAGCTCGTCCTCCGCCGCTCACAGCGCACTGACGTGAGCGCGTCGCGGCTCGATCCAACGGACAGGCACACGCGCGCACAGGCTCGCTCGCGCGTGCACAGGAGACACCGCACCGGACTGCTGTTCACAGAGCCCCCCCCCCCCCCCTCATACAGCTCGGTGTCGGACGGTCCCAACAACCGGCAGCCAGAACCATGGCGGAGAGAAGTGGCCGGTTGAGCTTCCCCGGGAGCGGAGCCCTCAACAGACCGGTGCCCATGAACCTGTTCGCCACATGGGAGATAGACGGATCCTCCCCGAACTGCATCCCGAGGTAAGGCGGCACCGCGCCGTCCGCGGTGGGCTCTCCGGTGCGCCGCGCGGGCTGTCATCGTGCGTCCCGTCAAGTGGGGCGCCCGCTGCGGGGAGGGAGGCCCCTGCGGCGCGGGCCCCCATCCAGACATCTGCATGTAGATCGGGTACAACGCGGGTTCGGACGGTGTTCTGCCGACACGAACCGATCGCGGGCAAACGCCTCCAGCTGCGTTAAACCCGCATGTGTGTGCGCGAAAGCGCCGAACGCTCCTCATCCTCCACTCAGCTGTGCGGCACCGCGGAGGCCGTTTGTCTCCCCGTGACACGGAGACCCGGAGGCCGCGTTCATGCCGCCAAGTTGTGAATCTACTGCCCAGCGCCGATTTAGTGTAATTGGACGCGTGTGACGTTCATTACTTTTGAGGAAACGGTGCTGAACTGTGAGTCCACTTGGCGGCTGGTTGTGAGACTTTGCCACATGGCCTCCATCGGGGGGACGTTTGTTCACGTGTGACCTCCGATGTTGTTGGGATTTACACGGTGGGGCTTTAACTAAACGTAGAGGCCTCTTTTGATTAAGTATTCAAAATGTGTCACCGCATCACAAAATACTGCACACGTTCCCTCAGATCAAGTGTTTTACAGTTCTATGAAAAAGAGAGTAACGGCCGATTATCATATTTGAGAGGCTGATATATTTTAGCTCGCTGCGCTTTCCTTAATTCCAGAGTGGATTCATAATAAATACACGTTTTATCCTCAGGACGCAGTTAAAGCACCGTGATGTAATGACAGAAATACGTTTGATGGAGCTTGTGATCTAAACTCCATTTGACTAATACCTGCTTTGAGACTTTGGTCAGCAGAGAAAATGAACGAGAGTCGGGGGCGTTCTGTTTTTGCTCTTGTTTTATTGTGTAAGTGATGCCTGTCTCTCATTAGCCTCTGTCTATCCTCTTAAGTTAATACCTTCAGTCTGCGTGACATCGCAGGGCTTTTAGCTGAAATAAGACCACCCAGACGAGAAGGTTTTCTGCGACTGAGAACCGTGGCGGGTTCAATCCCACCGTGACCCCGCCTGTCCGTCCCCGAGGGGGACGACGCGTGTTCGAGGTCCACTTCTGTGTGATGCGTGGCACACGGCCGATGCTGCTCTCTGTTGACCGCCGTCTGTCAGAGGTCAGAGAGGAGGAACTCTGCTCGGTAATCAGCCGTCAACTCGAGCTTCTCAAAGCGGATACGCTGTTTGTACAATTTCTATTCTATTCTATTGCCTTAAATGGTGGCCGTAGCGTTTCTGACCTCCAGCAGTGCGACACGGTACTTTTTAAATTTCCTCGGGAGGGTCCATTTCTTATTTCTAATTTACCGAAATATGTATTTTTTCAAAATAAGAATGAATGTACAGAGATAAAAGGGAGTTTCATTCCACGTGTTTGTTGGACCTCAGGGGGACACACAATGTGTTTTGGAGTAACATCGAACGTAATGTATTTCTGTTTACAGGAAAAGCTCCAGGGGGCCTTTTTTAATAATAAATGGTTAAAACATAAAACCAGGCTTAAGGGGAGGAAACACAAAGGAGCCTCTTTTTCAAGTTAGTCACGAACGTTTTGCACAACCGGTCTTCTCACACATTTCCTTTTGCTTCCTTTTGTCCATCAGCAGCCGAGGGCTGTTGGGCAGCGAGGCCCGCCGGAGTGCTGCCTCGGCACTGAGCTCGCGTTTCCCCGGTCACGTGCCGCTCCTCGCCGAGATGCTCAGTAGTCACCTGTCACCGGCGAGGGAGGGGCCATAATCACCTGTCTCAGAGGGCGGTTGAATGATAACTACCTGCGGCCTGTAAATCCAGATGTCTGATCTGGAACAACTGGCCGCTGGAAGGCAGATGCTGTTTGCGTTTGCTTTTTTATTGGAGAGTTTATGAGGATGCGGCTGCTGCACATATTGTGTAGGTCAGCCCATGGGGGACATGGGGGACATGGAGGACACGCGGCGTCCTTGTTCAACTCCTCGGCCGCCGGCCTTGGTGTGTGTGTGTGTGTGACTCACGCCGATGTGAAAATCCGCGCTCATGTTCCTTCGCGTCTCCTTGAGAGCCACTTAAATGAGCACCGAGAGCGGCTCCTGAATGTGTTTCACTAATCGCCCCCCTTATTTCTAAAGATGGCGATGTCTCCTAAGGGCCACTCCAGCCTGCGCTGGAAAATCAACCGCGCTGGCGACGTGGACGCCTCGGCTTCTCTGTCCTAAAGCGAGCCGAAGGGCGAGGAGCCGGCTCCACGGGCGTGGGAGATGGGGGCGGCGGCGGCGATCTGCCAGACAGAGGCCGGATTGAGCGGGCCCTCGACTGGCAGCTGGGGCCCAGTAGGCCGTCGTGTTCGGGGGGCCTGTTGGAGGCGAGAGTGCTGAGGGACACTCGCTCTTTTGTCCCCTGGCTGCATGAGACGCTCGCACTGCGGGAATTTAGAGTAGGATGAATGAGAGGCCGTTAAAGCGTCCCATTGTCTCCTGTTGTTCTTGTTGTCCTGCACTCGGGGACCATTCGGTGACAACGTTTGGGCGCTTGAGCGAGACCTCGCGTTGCTTTACGCTCGAGGGCTCTAAAAGACGTCTGTGAGAGAAAGAGTCTACTTCATACTTGATTTATTAAGTAAATATATACAACTATAAGTTCATGGTCTCAATCATTAGTTTTGAGTCGTCTTCAATACAACATATTGTTCATCTGGTCCCAGTTAGAGTAAAGAGGGTGTATAGCAGAGCACGTGATTGACAGGTTGCTAACACGACGCTGTGCACGTGTCTCTCTTTAACCCTCACAGAGTCTTTTCGGTTGGTCTGGTTGTACTCCGCTCACGCCTCTTGGTCACGGCCAATATGGGAACGGCCTCCACGTCAGTCTGCATTTAGCGTGCGAGGGGAAACGATAAGGATCCTAAAGTCATTACACTACGCTGCTTGAGGAATTGTCAGGGAATCCGCAATGAATAAATGTTTCTATAAATTGTTGCGTGAAACCTTCCAATAAAGGGTGAACATATTTCACAGCATAAGCGACGCGTTCGAGCCGCTGGAAGGGGCAGAAAGAAGGTCAAGAGGTCAGCAAGTTTCTAGGATTCATCCTCTGTGGAACATCAATCTATTCACAACCATGAATGTTGGTAAAATACTTTGTGCCAATGCAGTTTTTACCCCCAAAAAATGTAAATGCCAACTTCATGGTGAGAGAAGTGACTAGGGTTCCTCCTCCGGGGACAAGGAACGTCTCCTGCACTGGGGCGTGTCTGTGGGAAGTGCTCTGTGAACGGTCGCAGGGCGTTATGTAAAGAAAGACCAAACGCACATATCCTCCATCTTGCTGATGCAGCACATCCTGGAGGACAGATGGAGCAGGACGAGAAAGGGCAGTCGCCTCCTCACACACACACACACACACACACACATACACACACAGAGTCGAGACGCTTTTTGACTCTGTATGCCGATCAATTTAGCCTCCAGCTGACTTTCCTCATGCCTCGGCGCTCTGTGCCACGCCTGACTGCCTTTAATATACTGCCATTATTTCCCCACAGACAACATTTGATTTTAAAGAACCGGCTTTGATAATATCTGTTCTGCTCTTTGTTTTGATCCACTGCCTCTATGTGAACATAGTTTGGGAATATGGAAACGCTTCAGTGTGAGAGTGTATCTGTTCACAAAGACCTGAAACGCAGAACCGACCTCAGGGTCCGTTAACACGGAGTTCAGTTTACTGGAGCCATCGGCGAGTCCTGCAGCAGTCTGATGGATATAAAACCAATGATGTCATTTAGACGTAAGCGCCAGATTAATGCAAATAGCCCCGTTTAACTTGGAGCTGTGGTGTGGATCTACTTGGAAATGAACAGTTACTAGGAAACAGCACAGCAACATCGAAAATGAAGTAAATATTGTTTTTGGTGAATAAAGGCCGTTCGAGGCGGTTAGTACCTCTGGGCTCAGCAGCTAAAACTGTATTCCTGTTAAATATTATACGTGGAGCTGACGCTGTCCCAATTAAATCCATGCTGATTGGAAAATGGGACAAATGCCGCTTGAGATCCGCAGTCACACATTCATTCTTCACCTGGCCGTCCGCTCGCTCTGTGGAGGCTCTGATGCAGCAGAGAGGGTCTTTTCTTCACCTCAGGGTGACAGGACACCATTTAGTCTGCTCCAACACGGGATAAGAACACGGGACATGTGAGATATCAGACACTGAGGCTTGGTTCCTCCTTGTAAACGCCCCAGTATGCAATGCTGTTTTTAATCTTTAATATATAAACCCAACGATCCTGATCGGGCTTGATTTACCTCCCTACCTACCTACCTTCATTCACATGAATCTAACCTCAACGTGCTGCATAAGTAGGTCAGAGGTCTGATACGGAAGACACTGTTATTCACTGAGTCGATGGTTTCAATCATTAGTTTATAGTCGTCTTCAGTACAACATATTGTTCATCTGGTAAATAGTCCCAGTTAGTAATATATCCTCTACTTTACTCCACGTCTCATCTGTACCAACCGCCAAGTCAAACTCCTTGTGTGTCTGACGTATATTTTGGTAATAAATGTTCCTGATATCGTTCATGTGACTCGACACTTTAATTATTTATTTATTTATCTCCGGATATATTGATTTGCTCCTTCACTCCCATTGACTATTCCAGGCCGTGTAAATGTAGTGGAGGTTGACGGACACGGTCGTGTTGCCGCCGTGGGGGGTTGATTTGTGTGGCCAAACATCGACTTCCAGGGAAGATCCGTGCGGAACATCCGTCCCTCGATAGGGACAAAAATCCCTGTCACGGCGTTTAGAAAAATTCGCTCTTTTCCGTGTTTTCAATGTCGCAACAGCGTTAATTGTTGTGACCTCTAGCTGCAGTTTGGCGAGGTCATTTTCATAAATGTTGGTTAGTAATTATTAGTGTTGTTTATGTGTCACCAGCTGTTGTGGTGTTTTACCCTCTTAAAGAGGGTTTGTTGTGG